TATATAAGATACATAATGATCAAATTAGTGCTACCAGAATCTAAGGTCCGCACTATTAACCAGTGGATGGAAGTCTTGCAGGTATCCACCAGGATTTCCAGGTTCTGCCATTCCAGAACAAGAATTTGGATAGGTACTCATAGATAATAGGAGAAGCAGAGACATTTTGTTATGAAAGAATATAGGGCTGGGGCAGGACTCAGTCACAAAGTGCCAGAACCTGATTTTGGATCACCAACAACTTCGTAAAAATCTCTGTGTGGTCGTATGTTCCTGCAATCCTCGATCTGGAAAGGCAGTGACAGAAAGGTCCCCAGTTGTAGCTGACCAACTAATAATGTTGCTCAGTTGCCGAGTTCCAGGTTCAGTGAGAAATCTTGTCTCAAAAAAGTATGGTGGGGAATGATGGAGGAAGATACTCAACTTCAAACTCTGGCCTCATGAGTGTGCAAGCATGTTGTAGAATACTTTTGTTTATGTTGCATTTGTTTAACTCTGTGAAACTGTGATATTGTGCCTGTCTAAAACACCCGATAGTCTAATAAAGAGCTGAATGGCCAATAGAGAGGCAGGAGAGAGAAATAGGCGTGGCTGGCAGGCAGAGAGGATATATGTAAAAGGAGAAATCTGGGAAAAAGAAAAGGAAGTAGCTAGAGAAGGAGGAGGACTCTAGGGGCAAGCCACCTAGCTACACAGCAAGCCATAAAATAAGAAACAAAGAAAGGTATACAGGAATAGAGAAAGTTAAAAGCCCAAAGGCAAAAGCTACATGGGATAATTTAAAGTAAAGGAAAGCTGGCTAGCAACAAGCCAAGCTAAGGTTGGACATTCATAATTAAGAATAATCCTCTGTGTGTGATTTATTTGGGTGCTGCGTGGCAGCCCCCCCAAAAGGGCCCAAAGAGCACAAACAAACAACAACAACAACACACACACACACACACACACACACATGCAAACATAGACACATGGATATAATACACACATTCACACACTCACAGACACACAAGGGATATATTTATTATAAGAGGACTGGGTGAGCCAGAGCTAGAAGAAAAGTTGGAAACTCAATGGCCAGGCCCCAGAGGCTTGATGCTACTTATGGGTCATTTTATAGCTTAGCTTTCTCAAGCATTTGAAAACCACTTGGTGCCAAGCCTGAAGACCCAAGTTCAATCCCCAGAACCCACATAGTGGAAGGGAGAACCAACTCCCACAAGCTGTCCATGTGTACCGTGGCGTGCAGAGGAGCACCGTACACATGCACACAGATACACACCCCAAAATAAACACAAAACTATAAAGGATTGGACAAAGGATTAAGAAAAAAAAGGCAAAAGTCACATTATTGGTTCTGTCTTTCATGCATATACACAATTTGATATTTTTCATAAACAATCTCTTTACTCATTTGTGATTTTGTTTTACTGCTAATTAAAATTCTGGGGGCTGGGTAGTAATTTCTTTCTCTTATTCATTTATTATCTATTTGTATTGAGACTCTTCAAACTGCCCTCTTCTTGATCTTTATGCAATATATGATAGTTTTTTTTAAAAAGTAGACTCAGCCTCCTATGCTGTAGAACATTAGAATGTATTTCTCTACGTAACTATATTTTGGTGCCACTATCAATCTACCCTACCCACCATTCCTAACCACTACTTGACTTCCATAAAATCAAACCTCTCAGTTTCCAGATTTGAAAACAAAACGTATTTTTTGCATATGGTTTAATTTACTTAATTTGTCATTCGGTTATACCTAAGTAGCTAAAAGTGACAGGATTCCATTTATTTTTATGACTGAACAGTTTCATTGTGTATACTACATTTAGAAGAACCCATTCATCTAGAAACAGGTAGGTCAGTAGACTCTATTTCTTGTCTTTTGTGAGTAGTTCTGTAGATGTTTACATGTTATCATTTCCTTTGCTAACCAGAGACTTATTTTGATGTAGTCCCATTTGCTTAGTTTTGTTTTGTTTGCCTAGGTTTGGGTAACATATCCAAAACTTCATTGAGGAGGCCAATGTCAAGAGGGTCTTCTACTGTTTGCTTCTAAGACTTTCAGTTTCCAATATTCAATGAAGGTCTTCAATAGGTTTTGAGTTAATTTTTGTATATGTGGTATACAACAATATTATGTGTTTTGGTCACAAAGCATGGCTTTAACCTCCAAGGGAAGAGGAGGTGGCTTATTCTTGAGCCAAGTATGAGTGACCACGGCCTGGAAGAACAGATTCTTGCTTCCTAAACTGCGTGCTCCAATGTGGAAATGGTTTCATGAAGTTTTAAAGACTATAGAACAGAAGGTCACAGATCAATGAGTTTTCCAAAATCATTGGTGGGGACAGCAAAGCTGGGAAGTTTCTGCTATGTGGTGACATTCTTGGTTTTGGAGTAGATAAGCACTAATGGTCTCCCAAATTAACCAGAAAGGTTTTATCTTACACATGTAAAGCCTGACTAGTACTTGGATGGGAGAAGTTTTACCTAATAGTCAAAAGGATGTGAGACTCAGAGATGGGCAATGAGTAGCTATTCAGGGAAATAAAATTGCCCACAATAATTTTGTCTTTGGCTTGAAACATGAAGACCTAACCAGTCTACCAACCTTGGAGAATCTTCACCATAGGTGTGGATGTTTTTGTTTATTTTTATGGAAATTCTATTCATTCACACCATCTATTGAAGAAGGCTTTCCTTTCTCTGCTTTTAATTCTTGACACCCTTGCATGTGCATGTAGGCTTAGTTAAAATTTTTAAACAAAGATTTTGCTAAGGAAGGGAAAAAAATAACCTAAAGTCACCTGTCAGAGTGAAGCCATTTGGAGTAAAAATCACTGTGGTAGTTTTCACCAGGTCCTTGTACTGGAAGCTGCTGGAGAGAGGCTATTTCCCACTGTCCACCCCAGCTATCTGCTCACTGCATTTTTAAAAACCTGGACCATAAGAAGTGTCTGTTTTACAGAGAAAAAAGGGGGTGCTGACACTCTGAAAGGGTAGTGTTTGTGATCACAGTATCTCTGCCAGGCCATCATGCAGATTATCTGGCTCTGATAACTGACCCCTCGTTGGTTGCCCTGGAAACATTTTGCTTAATAACGTTTTATGAAATTTCAGCTTAAAAAAAATCACTCAATTATAAATAAACCTTAGTAATCTCCTAAAACTTTTGAAATTTGAAATAAACAATAAATATCTATCTTAATTGATTTTTTTCAAAGATAATCCTCTTGACTCATTTAGGATCTTGTTTTGCTACCAATTAAAATTGAGGGGCCTTGAGAGATGACTCAGTACTTGCTGCACTTGTAGAGTACCTGAGATCACCTCCCAGAACCCACATGGGGTGGCACATAGCACCAGGAGATCTGATGCTGAAAGGGAAAAAATCAGTAGCCGTCTTGAGAGACCCCCCCCCCCCGCTGTGTGCTCCCCCAAAGGTATTTGCTGACCAGCTGTTATAGAACTGACCAGAAGTTGAACTCAGGGGAAGATAAGGCTATAACAATAAATCTATATATCCTAGATGTGATGAAACATGTGGTGGTATTGTGTTCCCCAAAATATTGTGTACCTTAATAAACTTATCTGGGGTCAGAGAACAGAAAAGCCACTAGTTAGGCAGTGATAGCACACGCCTTTAATCCTAGCATTCCAGAGGCAGAAATCCATCTGGGATCTCTGTGAGTTCAAGGCCACATTGGAAACAGCCAGGCATGGTGACTCATACCTTTAATCCCAGGAAGCAAGCCTTTAATCCTAGGGAGTGATGGTAGAAAGCAGAAAGGTATATAAGGCGTGAGGACCAGAAACTAGAAGCATTTTGGCTGGTTAAGCATTTGGCTGGTTAAGCATTTGGCCTGGTTAAGCTTTCAGACTTTGGAACAGCAGTTCAGCTGAGAGCCATTGGAATGAGGACACAGAAGCTTCCAGTCTGAGGAAACAGGACCAGCTGAGGAACTGGCAAGGTGAGATAGCTGTGGCTTGTTCTGTCTCTCTGATCTTCCAGTTCACCCCAATACCTGGCTCTGGGTTTGATTTTATTAATAAGAACTTTTAAGATTCCTGCTACAGAAACAAGATATGGGGAGTAATGGACTCAACTGACCAGAAACTGAACTTATGGGAAAACAGGACTGGAACAATAAATCTGAATGTATATATCCTGGGCTCAGCAAAAGCAAGACATAGGGAGTAAAAAACTTATGTCTCTGTAGATACCCTGCATCCTGTTAGCCATTAGTAACCTCATGCTTATAGTTCAGCCAGTAACTTCAAAGAACTACCTCACCCCTAGGCCCCTCTTCCAATCCCAAGATATGTAACTCTCTGCATGTAAACCTTTCCTATATAAACCCCTTGAAGTGAGAGCTCAGGGCATCCTCCTCCACCCGCTATGTCAAGTGTTGGACAGGGACAAAGCCCGGGCTTGCTTTGTTATTAAAAAAATCTCTGTGTGCTTGCATCAGAGATCGGCTCTGTGGTAGTCTTGCTTGGTGATCTTGAGACCAGGACACAACAATGCCATATTCTGGCCCCTGAAGTCAGGACACATACACACAAACACATATAAACATAATTAAAAGTAAAAATATTTAAAATTCAGAACTGGGAAGATGTCTCAGTGGGTCCAAAACAGTGGCCACAAGAGTCTATGACTTAAAATTCCCTGTAACATATGTATAATGCCAGGTCTATGAGCACATCTGCAATCCTAGTGTTCCTATGGTGAGATGGGAGGTGGATACAGAATTGTCTTACCTGGAAGCTTGTGGGCCAGCAAGCCTGGAGTACAGTAGCAGAAACTAGATACCATGCTCAAACAAGGTGGAAGGGGAGACAGACCCCCAAAAGTGTTTCTGACCCCTAAATGCATGCCAAAGGGTGCGCGCGCGCGCATGCACGCGGACACACACACACACATACACACTATGCACACATAAATCTATTTTAGTGCAAGAAATTCAAAGTGTAACACAATTTTATTTACAATCTAAACTTTATTTTTAGCAATTTTAGTGAAATTAGAACATCTGAGACACTAATACCTTCAATTCTTTTCTAAGAAAACCAACACATTAACATTAAAATGTAGAAACCATGAGTGGGGAACATCTTCTCTCGTCTAATATTTTATCAAAAGGCAAAATAACAGTGCCTCCAACACTTTCCCTCTACAGAAGAAGGTGCCATGGGGCCTCTCAGTCATTTTTTCTTTCCTTTCTTCTTCTTCTGTGAGTCAGAAACTGGAGACTTTTTCTCTGTCTCTGCCTTCATTGCAGCCTCCTGAGCTGCCAAAGCTTCCAGCCTTAGGCGCTCCGCCTCCAGCAGCTTGCTTCTGTATTCTTCCCGGACTTCAAGGATCTTCTGTCGGGATTCATCTACAGAGTCCTATTCAAAAACAACCCAAGCCAATTAGCCTCCCTGATAATGATGCAGAAGCAGCAAGACGAGAAATACTTTCCCTTTCCTCGTGCTAACACATTGATGGAGAAACTCACTGAGGATGGGAGCTAGGCTTGTCCTTGGACATTTAGGAATACACAGGCTTTTAATTGTGACACAAGGCAAGTGAGATTTTAATGTGGAATGAATGGCGAAGGAAACATCAGTGGGAGAAAAATAGAAAGGTAGAGAAATTGGTAGAGATTTTGGTAGTGGGACTTTGTTTTAAATGAGTTCAGGATCAATCTTTCCCTCACACAGCAAATGTGCTCAAGAGATTACTAGTTCCTCCCCTGTACTTCTGACGAGCTATATTGGGGCTGTGCTGCAGACCTTCTGAATAACCAATCCTAGACCACTATCTTTCTTTCATTCTTAGGATGGTAGATAACAGCATTGATCTAGAACACCAGTCATCCACACGTAGCTACATTCAAGATCAGTTCTTGATACTGTTCCTACTCAACGGCCTCTTCCGCCGTCACCAGACCTCTCTTGGCTCACTGGATATCACATTATTAACTTATCCTCCATCTCACTAGCTGGTCCATTCCAGGACCCCTTGCTGGTTTCTCATCTCCTTCCTCTCTGAATGTGGAGGAGGCCTCACTATTGTTTACTGCTTCAAACCCAATACAGTGGGATAATAAGGATTAATGGACTGATGCTGGTGTAAAGAGATCTTTCTAGAAATGCCAGCTTTCTCTTCATGCTGAATTGTTTGAGAGTTTTTCCCCCAACATTTCTGCAACTAACATGGTTTTACTGAGGGGCTAGTGTAGCTGGATGTCAGAATCAGATTTCACAATGAGTTTGATGATATAAAACTACTATAACTACCATAAAATTGGATCCCTAGAGTATACTGCATTGGCATAAGATGACATCTCTGGCACATTGGAAAGAGAAATGAGCAAGACACAAACATCTTAAGGATGTGCATAAAGTCAGTTGAATATATGCCAGTCAACTTTTGAGGGTTTTTGGAAGAGTTATTTTCTCATATTTGATAAGAGATGTATTACTCTTGGGTTTCTGTTAAAATGGCTTCAGTCAAAATGAAGATGTTTATTTGTACCCCATAGTTGAATGACTAGGCTCTGAATTCAGGGTCCTAGTTAATATTTCTTCTCTACATCACACTCATCTAGTTCATTAGCTTGGCTTCTAAACACAGAAAGTAAGGCCAATGACCTTGAAATTCCCTATTTCTGATATTGTATTATGTTATATTAAATCTGTGCAATTTAACAATCATTCATTGATTGTGATTCATTTATCAAACACAATTCCCATTGTTCCCTTTCAAGTATAAGAACAAACCAGAACAAAGGCCTTCTTTATACATACTCTGTTCTCTAGGAGAGATGGATTTAAAATGGATTCATATTTTATTATTAAGTCTGTATTATACTTTCTTGTTAAACAGTAAGGAAGTACATATATCGGAAAATAACTTTAAAATGTCAAAATTAGGCATGATCATGCCATTAGTGCAATCCATAAAATATTTCCCCATTCTCTCTCAGGCTCAAGGTAACATTGCCCTCTGTATTATATTGCTAGAACTACTGTAACAAAGTAACAGCAACCAGGTTCCTTAAGTAACAGAATTGCATTGCTTCATAGCTCTGTATGTTGGACATTCAACCAACTTTGACTCCATTTTTGAAGCTGTGGGTGACCATGTGATTTGCTTTAACTAATGAAATTTGAGTGGCAAGAATGTGCTATTTCTGGATAGAAGCCTGCCACGCTCAGCTCAATGTGGTCCCTTCTACTGTCATAATAGTCACAGGAGAGTTTCTGCATATGATCTCTTTCAGCCTCACTCAGTATCTTAATAAACATAAGAAAGACGTACTGAACTGCATTAGATATGTGCCTAGGATGAGAAATGCCAGGGCTTTGTGCACTGAAGCCTCTGGAACAAAGCTGACTATTGCCTGTTTTGTTTTAAATAAAGTGTTGTTTATTTGATGTATTCCCATTTAGTTAAGTATTATCTTTATGTGTTAATATTGGTAGGACAAAGTAACTAGAAACAGTGTATGTGCTGGACAAACCACCAAAGAACCCGCAGAGACAAAAATGTCACCCCCTTTTATAGAAAACAAGTTTGTCAGATCCTGCCTTAGTCACTGAAATGGTGCGGTTGTTTGTTACACCAAAATAAAACAATTTATCCTGAATGGCAGCTGTCCAGCTGCTAAGGACAGACCATATCAAAGGATGGAAAAAATAGAAGTAGCTAGCGAGATCAATGAGGGATCTGCAGAAAGACCCTGACCGGAAACAATGATGGTCTGCACTGGGGTCCTGGATGCAGAGACAGTGGAGGCAATTGAGCTTCTGAGGGATTCTCAAAGGAGACTAAGTGGATTTTGATAATGGATCACTGGTGAAGAGTAACAGGCAGGACTGTCTCAAAGGTTTCTGCTCTGAACAAGAGCAATTGTGATTGTCACTTTCTAAGATGAAGATAATGGTGAAGTAACATGCTCGTCCTGAAATGAGGAGGAAGGCTAAAATTGCTACAATTAATATTGGAGAGGTTTTGTTTGAAGTGCCTATCGAACAAAACAAAAAGAGACATCTAACTAGCATATTCCTCCACATCAGTAAGCGATACTGTGTGATCCAGTATCATCATGGCTAAAATACTTAAAAGTTCTATAATTCTCAGTTCTGTGTGTGTGTGTGTGTGCGCGCGTGCACACACACACATACACATGCACATATATATGTATCTGTGTGTATGAGTATGCGTAGCATGTGTGTCTGTACGTCAGTGTAGTGTCTGTGTCTATGTCTATGTGAGCATATTTGAGTGTATTTGTGTGTATGTATGAATGTTAGGGGAGAGAGAAGAAAGCAACAAATCTCTATCATTACAGATGGAAGTCGTACTTATACATTTACTCCATCTTTCCATTTCCATCATAGTCTCCCACTGCAAGGAAAGCTTTTCTTTGGACCATGTCTACGCTGAGCCTCTCTGCACTGCTGCAGATGTGCGTGGGTAGCGGGAGGATAATGGCCACCCACCGTGAAAAGTTGGGGTTTTGATGTGTGACTTTTAAAGAGGACTTAACCAAAAAAGCCTAATTGTCTTCCTCCCATCCCATCTTTGCTTTGTGACATCCACAGTGCCAACCTGCTGGGCCTGTGGGGCATGCGAAGATGCTGTAAGCAAACCGGTAGAGTCTAAGGCATGTTCCCACAGCCAGCATCGGGTCTGCCTGTCCCAACTCGGATAATGTAATTCTCACCCCATCATTTTATACATTCACAAATAGTTTCTCGTCTTCTCTCACATTCATTCCAGCTTAAGATAGATTTCTATTATGATGTTAGTGGGGTTTTAAGAGGGCGGTGAGTGAAAGGCGATATGTGCATGTATGTCCAGGCTTTCTGAGAGGTAGTGAACTTTTTAGAGTCAGGTATTAAGAATTCTTTCTACTGCCAGGGGCCCCCCCAAAGCAAATCAAGCTACACAATTGTCTCCCCATGCAGAGGGTCTAGTCCAGTCCCATGCAGGCTCCACAGCCATTGATCCAACTTTCATGAGTTCCCACTAGTTTGGTTTGTTCATCTCTGCAGGTTTCCCCATCATGATCCTGATGCACTCAGAATCTATCCCTGATGCATGAGTGGGCTTTTTGGAGCCCACGACCTATGATGGGACACCTCACGCATCCTTGAGGCAGGGGGAAGGGCTTGGACTTGCCTCTACTGGATGTGCCTCCCCATGGGAGGGAGGCCTTGCCTTCTTGTGGTAGGGAGTGGGGGTGGGGTGGGAGGAAGGAAGAGGGGGATCTTTGGTGTGTAAAATGAATGAAAATATTTTCTTAATAAAAAAAAAAGGAAAAAAAAATAATTCTTTCTGCTCAGATGTATAACTCTGCTTTCGTTTTTTCTGTTACAAAGGAACTTCACGGCTGTGACCACAGGTACATCTAGACTCACCCGCATTTTCCCATACGTGTCTAGAACCTCATCCTTGAGCTTAAATCGCTCTTCCTGATCGATGTCTCTGATGCTAAGGATCCGGCACCTGTGCTGCCGGAACTGGTGGATTTCTTCCGCCTTCTGCATCGCTTGCTGCTTATTCAGTTCCTCTGTTTGCAGCACAGGCTCGTCACTTGTTTTCCTGGATGGAAAATGTCAGACGAAACAAGAAAATCATTCTTGAGAGCTTGAAAGTAAATGTTATTTCAGAGCGCAAAGTAATTTAGAATTGTGTTAACAGAGAGCTGGTCTGAATCAAACCAAACATGAGAGATGGTGGAATAAACACTCATTTTCTTTAAAAAATGGGTAGATACTATATACTGACTCATTGATATTTTAGAAAAATATTATGGAGACTATCAGTTAACTCAGATACATCATTCAATAAGGTGACTGTGAAACTGGTGTTCACACTATGAGTATTGTATGGGTTTTACTTTTAAATTTATCCATTTCATAAGAGTGATGACATTCTCAAACATATAAACATGCATGACAGGCTCTATTCATCCTGTTATTTAGTTCTGAAGAAAAATGCAACTTAATTAAATAATCATAGTGGGTAGTATTTGTTATTGTTGTTACAAAAGTCACTTAAATGAGTTGGTGATTAACGTAATAAAATATTTGCAAAATTAAAGATAAAAAATCATGCCACTCTAAAGACAAACAAAATGAAGGCATATTTAGCATTTAATTTTGACTTTTTGGTTACTTAGCAACTGCCCATTGGGGATATATCTAAGATTCTATGAACACACTTTCTATATTAATCACTTTTGCTAAAACTCACCGTACATAATGACTGAAGTCCACAAATTCTAGTGCTTTTCGAATGAGTCGTGGAGACATTTCCAAAACTGTCTGAGATCGTGAACGGGATAATGCTAGAAAGCAAAGAACACAGGCTTCCAGAAGTAAATAGCTAAATAGCTATTATAACTCCTGGTTGACAACAATGCTTTATGTTAAGAAACAACCTTGTACTTTTGTTAGGATTTTATTGAAATACACTTATGGATCTTATTTTATAGTTATCCTCTGGTGTAAGTTTGTCGATAGCTAAATGAAAGAGGGAAAAATGAGTACGCACCATTAGAACAGTAACTAATTCCTTCTTAATTACAGTTAAATGAGGGAGGGAAAAACAGCCTCTTTCAATTACAAAGTTTCATTGTAAGCAAATTAAATGATTCAAAATTTGAAGAGCTTGAAAAATGTCTGAAAATCATGCTGAGTACTTCAAGAGTTAGAATTTAATTGTACTTAAGACACAGTATTGTACCTTCCACTGGATTGAACAATGTATAAAATAAACACACTGAAGAGCAAATGAACAACTTTTACTACATGCACCCACAGGGAGTCACAAAAACAGATTTTATAAAGAATTTAAGTCTTTGGATAATAGTGACCTTTTGACTTTTCCAGACTACTATGTGTTTAAAATAAAAAGAAAGAATAGTTTTCATGTAAAACAAAAACAAAAAACCTACCTCATTTGTAGGATGCAATGCAATACTTTTAAAATAAATCTACTAGCATCTTTGATCATCATAAAAATCCAGTTTTAAGACATTTGCATAATTCAAATGAGGTTCCTGCCCTACTACAGTCAGCGTCCATTCCCGCCAGAAGCTCCAGGCAGCTATTAGTCTATATTGGTGAATACAGTTTTGTTTTCCTGGACATTGCCTATAAGCGGGAATGGGTTGGGTCACATGGTAAAATAATTACAGTTAACCTCTTAAGGGACTTTGAAATGATGGTAAGTTTTCATTTGTTTTTTTCTTTTGTTTGATGTGTTAACATGCATATCATGCATGTGTGGCGGGGGCGGGGAGTGGGGGGGCAGAAGACGGCTTTTGGGAGTCAGTTCTCACACCTTCCCCCTTGGTGAAGCAGGATTTCTCTTAATTCTGCTGCTGTACATCATACCAAGGCCAGCTGGCCAGTAAACTTCCAGCCCATTCTCCTATGTCTACCTCCCATCGCCAGGAGCATCAGGATGATAGATAAGTGGCACCACATCTGACTTTTTAATGTGGGAGTGAACTCAGGTTGTCAGGCTTACATGCAAGCAGGTACTTTATCCCACTAACCCAACACTAGCCCTCTACCTAAAGTGACTGTTATTAATATCATGATAAAAGTTGGAATTACAAAGAAAAAAATCTTTCCATTTCATTCTCTCTGTTTTCAATTCTTTTTTTCTAAGAGTAGTTTTCGATTCACGACAATACTGGACCTATTCTGTTTAACCCTTCACAAATACACACGTAACTTCTTCCATTGTTATTTCCCAGTGGCCATCGCCTCCCAAACACCATAGTTCACTTAAGAATTTACTCCAGGTCTTCCATATTGTATGGGTTTGGATGACTGTATGGAGCTGTGGATTGACGTATCATTGAGAGTTTATTCGCTGACCCACGCTCTAGGCACTGTTCCTTTTTCTCCCATGCGTAGTCCACTCAACTACTGTCCCTATTGATACCTTCCCAGGAAGTGACACTATTGTAATTGTGCAGTATGAAGTCACTCCTGATTGTTCCTTTACTTGCCTTGCCATTTCATGCTTCATGAAATAAGTCATTTCTCAAGTAAGGCAAAGGCCATATTGATACCAACTCCAATATTATGGACAGAAAAAAAAAGTCAAAAGAATTATCTTTAAGGTCTGAAGTAAGATGAGGATGTTTACTTTTTCATTCAACATAGTCTGGAAGGCCTTACCAGAGCAATTGCGTGAGAGGAAGGATAACAGATCTTACTGATATTAGAAAGAAACTAGTCATCACTGTTTACAGAAGAAATATACCTATATAGAGAGCTGCTAGAACTAGTAAATTCGGCCACCAGGCCTTCACCTTCATGCATGGATCCGTGAAACACTGTATGCATTGCTTAGTTATCACAGGACTGTTGAGTTTGGCTCAGCCTCCCTGCTTTCTTGTCCTTTGTTCTGTTAATGTGGCATATCCTACTTAATGATCTTTTGAACTATATTTACAAACTTGCTGTGCATACGACTTGATTATAGTGAAGAATATTTTTAATGTGCTATTAGATTTGGTTTGTCAGGGTTTTTAAAGATTTATTTTATTTTTTTAATTGTGTGTGTGTGTGTATGTGTGTGTGTATCTCTCTCTCTCTCTCTCTCTCTCTCTCTCTCTCTCTCTCTCTGTGTGTGTGTGTGTGTGTGTGTGTGTGTGTGTGTGTGTGTGTGTGTATAGGGGTAATCTTCACATGAGTGTGTATGTGCCCATGGAAGCCAGAAGAGAACATCAGATTCCCCTAGAACTGGAGTTATAAGTAGCTGTGAGCGGAAAGGCATGGGCTCCAGACACAAAACTCAGGTCCTTTGCAAGACCAGCAAGCACTCCTTAAGACCAACCCAACTCTCTGGCCCTGGTTTGTCAGGTTTTATGGATTTTTTTTTTCATCTAGCTTCATCAGTCTCATTTTTTATTGTTGTACCTGTCTGATTTGAAACCAGTGTAGTGTTAGCATGACACAATAAGTATGACAGTCTTAACTCATGCTGCTTGACACATATCTAATTCACTGCAACATGGAGGCTGCCTGGTCCCAAGATTTTCTTTAGTGGAGAATTTATTGCTGATTCAGCCTTGCATCTGTCTGTTAAGGTTTATACTTCATCATGCATGTTTTAAACTTTTTTATTTGTGTGTGTGTGTGTGTGTGTGTGTGTGTGTGTGTGTGTGTGTGTGTGTGTGTACAGAGAAGCAGACAGAATCAGAGATCAACAGATGTCTTGCACTACGGCTGTCCACCTTTTGGACACATGGTCTCTCACTGAACCTGTAGACTCACTGGCCACCGAACTCCGGGGATCCATATGTTTCCAAGCTGCCAGGTAAGTACCAGAGGTGCAGATCTGAACACTGGTTCTCATAGCCATAGCAAGCACTTTACCTCCTGAGCCATCCCCTAGCTCCTCATCATCCAGTCTCTGTAAGCTGTGTGTCCAGGAACTTGCCCATCTATTTAAGGTCTTTGCCGGCATATAGTTGCTCATAATAATCCCTAGCTACACTTTTGTATTTTTCTGTTGTTAATTTTAATGTCTTCCTTTCCACCTCCCTTTTTTACTTATTTGAGTCCTCCCCCTCTTTTTTAAAGGTTAGTGTAGCTATTCATTCATATTTTGATTTTTAGTCTCGAGTTCACATGTTTCTGTTCTGATTTTTATTTCTTTCCTTCTAAACTTGAGTTAGCTTTGTTCTTAGTTCTCTAGTTCTGTGAGCCTTAGAGAGGGTAGTGAGGTCACTTTTTGAAGGTGGTGTTCATCCCTATAGACTCCCCCCTTAGCCTTGGCCATGTCTTGAGGGTTTCACTATGCAATGCTACTGTTTTCATTTGTTTGAGAATAGTTTTTATAATACACTTTCGCATTTTCCACTATTTACGTCAGGTTGGTATTCATGAAAGCAGGACATAAAACATTTTCCTTACACAGCTCCATTTCCTCAGCCACCATTTACACTATTACTGGCATGTTGTTCGTGTGTCAGAAGCCAACGGTACAGCGTTCTAGTTACTTTTGTCAAACCAATTTAAAAATTCAAAAATACGATTCTGAATTCTTCAAACATATATCTAAGTGTCTGAATTACCTCCTGAGGTCATTTTCTCATAATCTAGGGGGTTACCTTTGACACCTATTTTAAGCCATCTGTTCTAGACTCGCATCCATTGGTCTTTGTCTTCAAGAAGATGTACCTATTTTTCCTTAATCACCCCTCCTTTTTTAGTTTGCTTTTTTCAGTGCTAAAAATTGAACTTAGGACTTCTTCGCATGTGCTAGGCAAGTGTTCAAAAACTAAGCTAAACCCCAACTCCTACTTTGGCTTAAGTTTTTTTTTTTTTTTTCGAGACAGGGTTTCTCTGTTTAGCTTTGTGCCTTTCCTGGAACTCACTTGGTAGCCCAGGCTGGCCTCGAACTCACAGAGATCCGCCTGGCTCTGCCTCCCAAGTGCTGGGATTAAAGGCGTGCGCCACCACTGCCCGGCTTGGCTTAAGTTTTTAAGGATGGTTTTTACTGGATAAAGAATTCTTAGTCAATAGTATTTTCTTCTAATTCCAGCCTTTACTATAGGACTTGTTGCAATAAAAGAACTCGAGATTAATATGCCAGGGGGCCATGCTATGTTACTAGCTGTAACAGATGCACATTCCCCCCCCCCCCAATTTTGGGAGCCCTTGTCTCAGGTGTGTGTTTGTTATAATCTGTGTCTACTGTTATTGCAAAGACAAGTGTATGTCTTACCTTACCAGCAAGATCAGAACTCACCAGCATTCTCCTTTAGCATACTCAGCTGCACACTCGGCAGTGGCGGCGGCGGCGGCGGCGGGGGCGGGGGCGGCGGGGGCGGTGGTGGCTCTTTTTCTTCCTTCCCCGCCACAGATATTTTGCTCTCGCTGCTTGTGGATTTTGCCAGATCCCTGATGCCCTTGGTCATCTGCCATTTCTTCCACAGGATATTTCCCGCTGCGGCTGATGGCACTTCTTTGACGTCTGCCTCTTTCCCCGTAGAATCTCTGCTTGTAGAATCTCTGCCTGTAGAATCTCTGCCTGTAGAATCTCGCCCTGCAGCATCTCTCCCTGCAGCATCTCTCCCTGCAGCATCTCTCCCTGCTACTTCTCCTAAAGCACAATGTACATGTTCCTGAAAAACAGGTAACCTGCACTCTGCAAAGTCACATGCAAACATATCTAGTGGGGCTTGCTCGTAGGAGCCCCGATTTGGAGGACACAATTACAAAGCTTTGCAGTGCCTAACCAGGGCATGGATACCCTGCAGCATCTGGGATGTCAAAGCATGGTATGGCTAGTATAATCATATGTGTACGGTGAGCCTGGAAGTCCCTTGGAATATGAAAGCCTCATATAATCAGAAGCTTTTAGAAACTGGGACAATATTGACAGAGGTGAGGTCTTTAAGTGTATAGGCAAGGCACTTCTCATTGGGAAGGGACTAGTGAGTCTTGACACTTAAGTTAAATTGTCTTAAATGCAGCTGAAAGGGGTTTTTACTTGTGAAGATGCTAAAGCTGAGAGGATTTTCCTTAGAAGTGATTCTAATAGTGACTCCTTGGCCATGAAAAAAACATAAAAACCAACCCAAAATTTCACGTGAGCCATGCATTAGTCTCCTATTTATTAATACACTGTAGGTGATCCACTTTGCACTATATTCTGATTTGAATAAAATGCAGGATTTGGGATGTGAATTGCTTGTGCCTCCATGTGAGCCTACTACAGTGGTACTTGGATCTAGTCAGGTATCAATGAGAAGACACATGGGTCAAAGGAGGGCCAGGTATGCATGCTTGCAGGGTCTCTTGTTTCTCAAGAACTTAGAAATATTATTGAGATTTTCTCCACCTTGGAAATCATAATATACATCAATGGGTTGGTATATAAATGTCAAATCAAATGTAGTTTGTCTTCTATATCTCTGGATTTTATATCCACAGATTCAGTCAACTAACTATTGATCAATAATTTGTTAGGACAGGGCTGGAGAAATGGCTCAGTGTTCAAGAGCACTGGGTGCTCTTCTAGAGGACCCGTATTTGATTCCCAGCACCCATATGGCAACTGTCCATAATGCTAATTTCAGGAGATTGAATGCTGTCTTCTGGCCTCCTTGAACACCAGACACACATGTGGTACATAAACATACATGCAGGAAAAAATACACATACACAATAACATAAACATTAATTAATTAATACAACATTTTAAAAACATATAGTTAAAGGATGACAAGACGCCCACAGGGGTAAAGTAATGCTTGCTATGTAAGTCTAGTGATCTGAGTTCAACTCCTGGAGTCCATGTAAAGGAGAACACTGACTCCATAAAGTGGTCCATCCTCTTATGTGTACCGTGGCAACCATCCTTACAGCATGCACATGCACATAGCATAATAAATACTAAATAACTTGAAATATATAGTTTAAAATGTTATTCTGTTATTTACTACAGTTAGTTCTATGTTAGTTTTATTTGTAATGAACATACATATACTTGTTTGCCTTTATAGTTTCTAAATGATATAGTATTAATAACTACTTAGAAAGCACTTAGATTGAATTATGATTATAAGAAATATAATGATAATTTAAAACATGCAGGAGAATGTGCATAAATTCAATGCAAAGACATCACCATTTCCTAGAAGCGTCTAGAACACCTGTACATTTTGGTATACATCATAGGTCTTGGAAATGACAAGCTTCGAACACTAGGGTCAGCTCTAATTTAAGAAATGTAAGTTGCCAAGCCATGGCAGTCATTCTATATAAGTAGTTATCTTCATTATGACTATTCTTTTATTACTACTTATTTTATTATTCTTATTTGTATTCTTATAAAGAAGGTACCAAATTTACAGTAGTAGGCTTGCTTCCAATTCCCCGTGGCTACTATCGCATTGAGTAACAATCTCATTTCATCTTTTTCTTATCTTTTTTCCATTCCAAGACAGGACCTCCTGTAGCCCAGACTGGCCCTGAATCCCCTATGTAGCTGAGGATGGACATGAACTTCTGAGCCTCCTGCCTCTACCTCCCAAATGCTGGGATTACAGGTGTGTGCTACTATACCATATTCTTCCACTTTTCTTAAGTAAGGAAAGTCACCTCCGCTTATGTGTGGAGAATGGGCAAGTGAGTCTTAGATGAGAAAATACGGACACGTAAGTGGCTTGATAATTTAAAGACCATTCACGTCCTGATGTGAAGCCGGGTGGCCTTTCACAATCCTGAGGACCAGAAATTCTGAAATAATTCCTTGTCGCTAATGAGGCCCCACCAAATGCCTGAGCAGCTGGGTGGCCTCCACTGACCTTCTTCTGAGGGTTTAATTTGGCTCTGGGTTGAAGAAAAAGTCTCTTGGACAGGGATGTCAATTGGCTTCTTAATGAACTGGTTGAGGTACTTCAGACGGGCCTGTGAAGCCTGGAAGACAGATGTCAGCCTTATGAGCTTGCTGAAAAGCAGCAGGTGGTATGGACTAAAGCAAGCCAAAAGTGGAAGATGAAAAGGGAACACAAAGAAGGTGGCTTTGACCAGACCCATTCATTACCTAGAAGAAAATTCTGAACCCTCTGTGATTTTGATGGTTTGTAGATTATGGCAGAGAACCAGGAAAAGGAAGGGCGGGCCCCACTATGCTAAGCTAATATACACAGCATGTTACCTTATATCCAATTGTTTCTGAATCATTTTTCATCTGCCCCAGTTACCCTGAATTAGGCCAAGGAACACCACAGGTAAAATAACTGTTGGACTATAAGGCTGCTGTTTTCAGCCAGTGGGTTGCTACCACTTCGACAACCCTCTATCTCCAAGAATATTTACATTATGGTTCATAACAGTAGCAAAATTACAGTTAGAAAGTAGCAACAAAAATAATTTCATGGTGTGGGGGGTCACCACATGAGGAAGGAACCCTACTAAGTAGGGTCACAGGGCTGGGAAGGTTGAGAGCCACTTCATGGTGGAAAGCTGGGACAGATATTTAAATGCCACAAGGGGGCAGCACATACTTTTTATTCTAAAGCTGTTCATGTAGGAAAACATGCGTTAAACATTTGCATGCTCTCTTACTTGAGGCTTTTCAGGGTACATGTGAATCCAGCCCTGCATAGCTATGTAAAAAAAAAAAAGGGGGGGATCGGGGGTACGTTTCATAGTTTTGGCATACCACATGTCACAATTTGGCTAGAATCTGATATGATCCCAGCTCTCACACCTAAAGGAAATCCTGTGCGGCTTTACCCACAGGGCTCATCTCTCAGACCACATCTACCAAGGAAGAGTGAGAAAGAACAGCCTTTCAGGCAGGTGACCTTGATAGCCCTCCCCGGCTCAGTTGTCTCCCAAGCTTGCTTCATGGCTCGTATTTCATCTGATCGGTCTGTGTCTTTTTTCACGTCAACATAGTCTGAGTCGCTGTGTTCAGATACCAGCCTCAAAACCCAGTAGGGTTTGTTTGGATCTTCTTGCTGAGAGTGAACAGTGGGTATTGGCTAGGGGGGAAAGAAAGTTTTAAAAATGAATGCTTTTCGCTCCTCGAAAGGTTCTAGGTTTCACTCCCTAAACGGTGATTTCATTGTTAGGTACTTACCTTGGAGAAATCAAACCCTAATTTACACAAGACTTGTGTAAGAATGCTCAATATTCTTTTTCACAGCAGCAATAGCAAACAAAATAAACAAGTGTAAAAGTTGATCAGCTGGTGAATGGACAACTTATAGCATGTTCCTATGTCGGGTGCCGAACACTGAATAAAAATAAATGTCTGTTGTACACCAGCATGTGGAAGAATCCTACAGGCATGTATTTTAGTAAAACGAGTAAGTTAAACACAAAGTAGTTGAGCTTGTGTGAGGCATTTGTTTGAATTCTGTGACAGGCGAACGTAGCATGATGACAGAAAGTGGGCTGTGAGTTCCCCGGGGCTTTGAGGTGGGTATGATAGAAGGCCAGCAGTAAGTTCCTACACTAGTCTACAGTCTTTACCTTGAGTTACACAGTGTAGACACTTGTGGAAGTCAATGCATTGTACATTTAGGAGTTGGGCCTTGGGAGCTGTGGCTGTGTCTCAGTAGATGAAGTGTACGTGCTTTGGAAGTGTGAACAATGGAGTTCAGAACCCCAGAGCTCCAGTGCTGACTGTTCACAGCAGCCCACTTGGAATTCCAGTGTTCAGAAGGTAAAGATGGGCTCCCCAGAGCACACTGGTTGGCCAGGCTAGCCATGTCAATGCGTTCCAGGTTCAGCCGAGGGCCTTGTCTCAGTGAATATAGTGGAAAGTGATTGAAGAAGGCTCCCAACATCAATCCTGGGCTTCTACAGGCACATGCTCACACGAACCTACACATATGTGCACACACAGACACACAGTCATGCATAGCACATGCACATGAGAGAAAGAAAAACAAGTGTTTATGCCCATCACTTTATAAAATCTTGACTTAAAGCCGGGTGGTGGTGGCACACGCCTGTAATCCCAGCACTTGGAAGGCAGAGGCAGGTGGATCTCTGTGAGTTCGAGGCCAGCCTGGGCTACAGAGTGAGTTCCAGGAAAGGTGCAAAGCTACAAAGAGAAACCCTGTCTCGAAAAACCAAAAAAAAAAATCTTGACTTAAAATTATACACAGTAAAGTCTAAATTAGGCTGATGGGTGTTGTAGTCTGTTTTTTCTATGGATGTGAAAAATGTCATAACTGAATGCAACTTGGAATAGAAAGAGTTTATTTCAGATTGTATTTTGAGGTCCACCCCTGAAAGGAAATCAGGACAGTAGCTCAAGCATGAACTGAAGCAAAAACCACGGAAGAAAGCTGCTTGCTGGCTTATTCCCCTGGCTCATGCACAGCTAGCTTTCACACATAGCCCAGCCTCACCTACCTAGGGACCATGCTGCCCACTGTGGGCTGGACCCTGTATCAAACATCAAAGAAGATTTCTCACTGACATGGCCACAAGCCAATCTGATACAATTATTCAGCTGACTTTCCAAGTAACTCTAAGATGTATCAGCTTGAAAACAAAAACTAGCCAGTGAAGTGTGTAAGGGTGCTTGCTCTGAGTTTCATTCCTAGGGCATCTATGGTAGAGGGAGAAAACTGGCTCCCACAGTTTGTCCTCTGGCCTCTATATGTGCACCATGGTACCTATGAGTATGTGTACATGCACACAACACATACACACACATTGTCTAAAATTTTTTATATAAAGTCTAAATTATACATCATGGTCATTCATGATGTCTTCTAGAACTGTGAGCAAGACACTTGATCATTTCTGGCTCTGAATGCACTTGCTACAGACTCACTCTAGAAGTGAGCAGTACTTCAAGGTCTATAGAACCAGTTGCAAGGACTTCAGAGGGCAGAAATGGATTTTGACTTTTATATATGAGAAGTTCAATCCTGAACAACCAGAGAGGGAGAAAGACCCTTATTACCCAAGTAACCTTTCCGACAATTTCTTTCCTAGAGTCTCCATTTAATATGTTGGCATGTATGTTTTCTTGTTAATGTGATAAATGCCATGGCCAAAAGCAACTTGGAAAAGGAAGGGTCTTCACAGTTAACTAATTTTCAGTCATGAGGCTCAGGAAGTGGGATCTTCCAGGACCCCACTAGGCAAGTTAAGTGTTAAAACTGGTGTGGTTACAGAATACATCACAGAAGATCAAGTGTGTATCCATCTGAAATAATGTAATTGAGGAAGAGGAGAGGGAAACAGCCATTAAATAAGTTTTCATTTAAAATTTTGTTTCATTATTACCCTTGCTTTCTACATGATTCTCTTAGTTTTTTAATGAGAACTGAGTCTCAGAAGGAAATTTCTCTTACTTTTAGAGCCTAGAGTTTTAGCTTTACTCTTTGAATAGCTCCAAAAGTGAGTTGGTACAGAACTTTTCCAGTGTCAAACTTTGACTAAGAGAGAACTGTCAAGGTGCTAAAAGGCAGATCTATGGATAGAGTCAAACTTGCTTACTTCATGGTGCTCTCAAGGGAACAATACAGCTAAGAAATAGAATCCTTCAAATGTTAAGTGGACAAGATTTCTCACTTCTGGAGTCTGGGATGGTGAGTTCTCATTTCTTCCTATTGCTTCCTCCCTCATTGTCCTGAGGGACAGCAAGTGCCACCAGGGTCTGTTCAGTAAGGGAGTCACATCTCACCCACCTGAGGTTCAAAGCGAGGAGCTTGCTTTTCCTTGGCCAACTTCTCTTTCTCCCCAGACTTCTCTTTGCCTTTCCTTGTTGTTTTGGAAGTTCCTACAGATTTTTGCCCTTCACTGACAGCATGGGAATCTGGGCTTCCTATGGTAATTAGTTCTTCATGCTTCTCTACATGAGTTAAAGAGACATGCAAATGAAAACCAGTGAGACCCGACACAATGACAAGATCATTTCCTGGAGGGAGAACATGGCAAGCACACTTCATCTAAAGTGGTTGGATTCCATTCCTTGTAAGCAAGTGAACAAATGTTTCATAAGAGCTCGTCAAAATTCTTTTAATAAAATTAAGATATAATTTATATAGCATAAACTCAACATTGGTATACATAAAGCAGTGGGCTTTAGAATATTAAGGTTATCAAATCACCTTGTTTGCCATCTGGGTGCCTTTTATTTCATATATTACATAGATACACAATCCATTCACCTATGCTCTAATCTTTACTATTACTTTCTTCCTTTTGATTGGGGGTTAATTTTCTTTTCTTTTTCTAGTTTTCCAGTTTGTTCCTTTAAAAAGATTTGTTTATTTTATATGCATGTGTGTGTGACACTTGTGTATATAGGTGCCCTGAGACATCAGAAGGCATCAAATTTCCTGAAGATGGAGTTACAGGCAGTTGTGAGCCACCACGTAAGTGCTAGGAACTGAACCCCGGTTCTCTGCAAGGGTAGTAAGCGTTCTTGGCCCCTAAGCCATGTCTCTAGACTCCATTTTTCAGCTGTTGTTTTTAATGTAGACAATTATGTTGAGACCATGTTGCTCTCTGCACATCTATGAAATCTCTGCATTTATCTCTTACTGGTTTCTAGTTTTCTTCAATTGTGACGAGAGAACAAAGCTGCATTGTTTTTATTTTTTGCCATTTGTTCAGACTCATGGCACAGCTTCATTTGCTGCCACCCTCCAGATGGTCATGAGAAGAACATGTGTTCTGTTACTCCTGAGTGGAGAAGTCTAATCTTAGGACAGGTTGGTTTGTCATATGCTTCAAGCATTTTATCCTAATTTTCGGTTTAAATTTCTTTCTACTACTTAAATGCAGTATTTCAATTTCCAACTATTTGTGGAGTTAGCTGTTTCTTCTTTCAATACTGGTTGTGTTTCATGCATTTCAGACACTGATGTTAGGTTCATATGTTTATAATGGTTTTGTTTTATGACTATATGGTCTCTTTAGCATTATGAAATAACTAATATACCTGTTTGGTTCTTTAAAATCTATCTTTGACATCAGTATGACCATTCCAAGTTTATATGGGTTACTATTTGTAATGTATTCTTCTTTCTTAAAACTATTTACATATTTGAAATTAAAGGATGCCCTACTTATAAATATATAAAGTTGGATCATATTTTATAGTAAATCACATTTAATTTACATTAAACTTAATTGCCCGAAAGAGAGGATTTATGTCTGCTACTTTGATATTTATTTTACTCCATATTTCATATCTTGTTCAGTTCCTCTAATCTTGTTATTACGTTCCTTTGCTTCAAAAACACACTTACATCTGTAGCATTTTAATTCTCTCAGGTCATTTGTTTTCTGTTCATTTTCATTTTCTTAGTGGTATTCATAGATAAGATTAAATAATTAAAAATTTCATTTATAACAATTAAGTTTGGATTAACACCAATTTGATATTAATAATAAAAAGACCTTTGCTCTTATATCCATCTTTCCTCTTGATGCTGATAAAATGTAAAACTTGCCTGTATTCATGCCGTGTCCTTTAAATCTAGTTGATTAATTCATAGGATGCAGTCATTATCAGGTTGCTTAATTTAGTGTGCAAGGCTTGCAAGAAATCTGCATGTGTTGGCAACATACATGGGAATAAGCTGTGAACTGAAAACCATCTTACTGACTCACAGTTAAGGAAGGTGCGACCTCATGGGTATGTGCCTGCAATTAGGAAGCCCTGGAGGAATCAGTTCATACATCCCTTGGGGGAAGAAGTGCTGGGACTACCTGTTGATGAAATGAGCTTAGGAAGCCCTTTTTGTAAGTTCCTTTGGGTTTTTACTCTACCTAATGTGTACTAAGAAAATATTATAGTGAAATGTTCAGTAGATGATGAAACCTCCATAGACATAGAAATGCAAGTTTGTGTTTATGATTAAAAGTCAGTGCTTTGATCTATATCCTTGGGAACTGGTCAGTATTTGAACATTCACATAATTTCCAAATTTGTTTAGGGCAACGTGCGTGTTCACGTAACAGATTCACTTATATGTGGGAACAGAAAACTTTTATATATATTAACATGTTTATTTTGTACAATATCTTAAAATGTTTATTTTATATAACTACAAAATATAATTACACTACATAGAACATGTGATATTTTGTTTCAAAGACTTTATGACTTTTATACACAATGCTTCATTGTGCAGCTCTCTCCTAAAAAATAGATCACAGCAAGTACTTTATCATATATATAGATAACAATTATATATGTTTCAATAGATCAATTAGAACTTCAAAGGCCTTGATTATCAAAGGTGGTATATTGACAAAAGGAGTTTAGAATGACAGCATTACATGATGAAGGCAGATGCCACTGAGAACTCCCAGCTCAAAATCCTCCTGTCTCTTATTTCCTTCAGTGAAAGTCAGCCATAGTGAACCAACCATTTAGTGGAGCTTAGGTACTGAAATAAACAAAAGGTGGCACTGTTGCTGCATGGTCGTGGGAAGCCAAGTTTCCTATAAATAGCATAACTGTCCCAGGTCAGATATACCTTTATAGCTATATGTCAGATCTAGTGGGGAGTTTTTTGTTATTGTTTTTTGTTTTTTGTTTCAAGTCTGGGCAATAAGGATGTAAAGTTTTGAAAAACATAAAATCATATATTGTTCACAGGAATTAAATGGTTTAAAAGAATGAAATAGTATTTTTATTGACTTCAGGATGGATATAATTTTAAATCTGGTCATCAGTACAGTAACAAAAATAATACAACCAACTTCTATTTGATGAAAATATATTTTAAAATTAATCTAAGTTGATAGTTAAACACATCAAGAACTAAAGTTTTCTAGGTACTCCACATCCTTCAAATTAAAAAACAAAAAGCATACAAAGCATGTAGGTTTTCAGCTGTAAATGGAACTGAAACATTGCAGTTGATTGTTGTGTGATGTTTTGATTGTGCTCTGACAAATAAGGCTTGCTTAGAGTCAGAGCTAGCCACTAGCTAACCATAGAGGTTTGGAGGACTGTAGAGTGAGGGACAGGAAGTGGTATGGTGAGGCTGAGACAAGATCTCAGCCTTTTTGGTAAGAGAAACGGAAGAGGTATGAAGTCACACTGGTGGCTGCTCTTCTGATCGTTCAGGTTTTTACCCTGATATTTGTCTCCTGGTTTTGATTGATAAGATTAATTAAATTTACACATACATCATCTGGTGTCCAACATTAGGGGCACAAATTCATAAAATAGCTGCTTGCCAGTGGCTTCACAGCTACCAGCACACACTGGAACTGCACTTGGGAACTGCACCTGCTGGAATCACGCACCACCAGCTGGCTTTCCCTTCCTTCCCCAAGCCCTCTGAGCAAGTCTTGGATTTTCCTGTTGCAGCCTCTCTACAACCATCTCCACAAGCCCCAAACAAAACAGGCACTTGGGCTCCAAACACTGCCAGAGTTAGCCTCTCAACCACTGGCCAGCTCTATCTTCAGACAGCTTCGTACTTTCACTTCCCACCAGTCACGCATGCTGCTTTTGCACATTTCCCCATGCAGATGGCTGGCTCTCTGGCTCCTTTTTTCCCCCGGGGGTTGTGGGCTTTCCCTGAACCACCTTGTCAGGCTGCTGATACGTGATCAATGGCAGCTGTCCTCTGCCAGGCTGGGTACTGCCTGTGTTCTCTGCTCAGACATGCTACATAGTGGCAGCCAGTACCACACTTCACCATTATTGTCAGCAGAACTGCTGAGACAATCATAAAAGGGGGAATTAGTTTAAAAAACAAAATGGTTTTTTTTCCCATGTTAAAAAATGAAAAACGCTATTATGATGGAGGGAGTTAGATGTCTGTATGATCACACAATGAATGGTTTAAAAATGGAACAATTAAATGAGGGAATAATTAACTTAACATTGATTCACATAATGTTAATTATAATCATTATTGGTTTGATAATTTTTATTTTATCCTTAAAAAAATTGGTTGATATGAATGTCAAGATACAGGCCTTTAAAGGCAAGATCAGCACCCATAGAGGAATGGATCTGAGATACAATCAGTATTGAATCTCTTAACCATGATGATGCTTGAATAGGACAAGGTGATTTCCAGAGGCTTGAAGAAAAATCAAAAGGTCAAGTGTTTTAATTGTGGCAAACAAAGTCACTTAAAAATGGATTATAGATAGGGCATTTCTAGAAACAATGTTTCTTCTAATCCAAAGAGAAGGCCCTTGAATTCTGGAGGATGCAGAAGTTGTAACAAAGGCCAATATTGGACCAATGAGTGCAGACCAGCAAGGGACAGATAGGATAATCCTTTGCAACTGGGAAATGTCTTGGAGGCTCCTCTCAGGCCCCCATGTCAAATTTGGTTCAGTCATTCCCTGTTACCATGGGGGAAAATCCTTTCCAGAGCAATTAAAGGACATAATGCCTATTGTTTTACACACACACACACACACACACACACACACACACACACACACACACTGCTCTGGATGATAGAACAGCTTTAGAAGATAAAACAAAAATTTTAGGAGAAACTATAAAGCAAGTATTTTGGCAAATTCTATAAATAATCAAAAGCCAAAGCTAAAAATACAAATAAATGACATTGTAATTGAAGGTCTTATGGACATAGAGAGAGATGTAACAATAGCAATGAAATCTTGTCATCCAAACTGGCCTTGTCAGGAAGTAAACACTCAGCTTTTAGGGATTGGAAATTTATCTCAGGTAAAACAAAGTATGAGATGGGTTGAGGGTATAGGGCCTTAAGGACAAAGAGGAAAATTAAAGACTAATTGAGTGGCTAATATAGCAACGAATTTGTGGGGACATAATTTGTTACATCAATGGAATACCCAGATTCACATTCCTCCAATCTCAGAAACAAACCATTAACT